TTATTTTCAAAAAGTAATACGCGATGACTTCTAGGTTGTACTTTCCAAACAACCGAAATATAATATTAAAAAGAGCAACATAGGAGAAAGGTCTACCAGTGACTGGTGACTATTTGGAACTTGGGTGGCTGATAAACCAAACAAGCCAATCTTGTACTGAATGGTACTACATGAATGTTTTGGGAGATGTAAAAGCAGAACTATTTGAATTGCAGAAAACAAAAGGGTAACGGAGAAGCTAATAGACTAGCCAGGGAGGTGTCCTCAGCACTCCAGTAGGACCAGTACTGTAAATTCCTAACTGCCATTTAATGTAAAGTGATAACAAGGCTCGGCAGAATCACAGTCATAGAAGACAAGGTTGCTATTTAATCAGACAGATAAGCTTCATTGGCGTTACATGAGGTAAGATCATGTAAATGGTATAGTACTGCGTGAATGTCCTGGGAGAAGTAGAAATAGAGAACAACTCTCGTGTAAATCACACAAGACAGAAAGGTAACGAAGAGGCTAATAGACTAGCCAGGGAGGTATCCTCAGCGCGCCAGGACAAACAGTATTGTAAATTCCTAACTACCATAAAAACGAGCAATTACCGAATGGATAATGATAAAAACTCATTAGTTATCAACACACCATAACAAAAAGTCGCTTAAACATGCTACTCTAGAGCAAAGACAAGCTAAGAGATAATATGGGTGATAACTGAAGGCAAACTTGCTATCTATTCAGACAACCAAGCTGCGCTCAAAGCATTGGCCTTACTTCTGGTAAATCACGTACAATATGGTATAAGTGAGTGTGCTCTAAGAAGTAGGAATAAACTACGAAAACCTACCATTAATGTTTTGGAGCACGCCAAGGAACTACCTAAGAGCTCCATAGGAGAAAAGACTACCAGTGACTATGACTCTATTTGGTACACGGGTGGCTGATAAACCAAACAAGTCAATCATGGAATGGTAATATATGAATGTTTTGAGGGAACTATTCCTATCTGAGTCACATAAAACGGAAGAGTAACGAAGAAGCTGATGGACTAGTCAGGGAGGATTCCTCAGTACTCCAGTAAGACCAGTACTGAAAATTTCGATTTGAAAAAAGAAAATTGAGCAATTCTAATGGATCATGTTAAAATTTCTTATATCTGGTGAAACAACACACCATCAGAGGGATGCACTTAAAGTCGTTTAAACATACTACAGCTCTGTTTCACCAAGGTCTTATCATTACAATATCTTGTCGGTATCTCGTAAATTTTGATCTGCAAAAAGAAAAAAAACGCAATTGCTGAATGGATCATGTTAAAAACTCATATCTGGTGAAACAACACACCATCAGAGAGCTCGCTTAAACGTACTACAGACCTGTTGCACCAACGTTTCTGCCAACAAAAAGGAAACCTTATTATATATTATATGCTACTGTGAATACCTCTCAAGTGAACGCTCCATTGAAGGGTAAAGAAAATCTAAAAGATAAAAAAGCCTGATAACAGAAGGCAAGCTTGCTATCTATCCAGACAACCAAGCTGCACTCAAAGCATTGGCCTACTTGCGGAAGATCACCTACAATATAGTATAACGTGAGTGTCCTCTAAGTAACACCAACAAGGAATAAAGTAACACCAATTTCCATGGGTATAAACTTGATTATCTAAAATTTTAAATAAAAATTCTAGGAAAAACTACAAAACAGTACTCATAAATGTTATGGAGCACGAGAAGGAACTACCTAATGAGGAAACGGATTGAACCAAGATTTAAAAAACCCGACAAAGAAATTTATAGCCCAAATGAAAGAAGAACGAAGGACTTGGACCCTGCGGGAATTAAAACACGCAGAATAAGACAAAAGTATCTACAGCAAAAAGATATCGATGAAGGTCTTCCAAGTTAAGAAACAAGATCACAACAAAAATTTCCCAGACAGATTTTCAATTTGTTGCTATTAAATAAATTACTTTCGAATAAAGTTTTATTTAACTAGAGGAAACCCGGCAAAAAGATCGGATGTAGATTGTCAGGAAATAAATTTATCCTAGGTAATAGGTCAGGCTTGAAAATCTTCCTGGAGTGTACCATAGACAAATAGATAGTTTCATTGTTAAATTAGTCCACTTCTGATTACCATTCAGAAATGATGAATAAAGGGTTTAATTGAAGGTTGTCTTTCCTTGGCTCCATATAGAGAGCGTGGAATGCCACCAGGTATGAGAATTTTGCTTGAATAAGTATCAAGTCTTCAGGTCTTCTGATTCGTTTTTCGGAGAAAACTTGGGTGTTTGACTGTACTAATGTGGTTCGTGTTCCCTTTTGTTAATACTAACAGTAAATTCATAAATTCGAAAGGGTTTTTAGTAAATTACTCATTTACCGGTTGCTTGGATATTTACATAAGGAAAAAATCTAAGTTTAGCTGGTAAAATGAATATTACAAGGCATAACTTCAAGTCTGGGTAAATGTAAGTTTTGTTCAATGGTTGATACTTTTTTTATGACTTTTACGTCATTTTTCTTATTCTGTCATATACTCATAAAATTCTCATTTTATTTTCTCATCAACATGTCTGACAGTAAGTATGGTCTCCTTTTTATTTATTATTTGGTAATGTTTAAAGAGATACAGAAATAATTGAAAATCACAAAATAAAACTAACTTTTTTTAGCTGTTTGTGTTGTCTATTTACCCCCCCCCCCTCGAACTCTGAAGGGACTTCCATTAAATCTCTTTCACTGTGTCGAATGAGATCTGTTAAACTTCACGTCAAAGTATAATCCGAGGGGGTGACAGGCGAGGGTTCCCGAATTAGAAAAACCCGCTGACAAAATAAATGAATTTCCTAGGATTAAAATAGGCCCCGGTCGAAGATTCATCATCTGACTCTCTTGCGGTAGCTGTATCCTCTCTTTCTAACCTTTGACCGCAAAGTTCATTTGTACCCATCGTCGCCCCGGCAGCCGCAAGCCGCAATTAAGCCGAGCCGGCTGCTTTGTCGAAAAAGAGATGAAAAAAAAAACTTAATTACTTTGGAGCGGTCACATTTTCGAGAGGGAAAAGTCAAATATAGACTCGTTTGACAGAAGGAAGAAAAGCTCCGGTGGTCACGGATTAGTACGTAACGTATAACTTTTGGAAAAAATTAGTTTTTGAACAGCTTTATTTATAGAAATAAAATTCCTATAGATTTGGGCGAAATAAGCAACAAAAAAAAAAGTTTTCCCAATTCTCAATTTTTTATTAGTCCTTATTAATTCATTGACTTTTATAGACCACTTATGTAATAAAAAATTTATATAGCTTTCTCCCGTCAAATTAACCCTTTCTAATTTCAAATTAACCGTTTTTTGATTTATTTCAAATGAACTGTTTTTAATTTCAAATAAGCTTTTTTGAGTTTTAAATTAACCCTTTCTTTAAAACATAAATATATAACGCATATTGTATATATCAATATATAACATATATATATTTGGAAGGAAGAAACAAACACAACGAAAATTCCCAAAATCCGTAAATTTTCTAAATTTTCAATTTTTTATTAGGTAATTATTGTAGTTCGTCGGTTTTTACAGGCAACATAAGTAATAAAAGTTATGTCTGTAGTTTTTCCGATAAATTCGCCATTTTTATTTTCAAATTACCCTATTTTTAACTTCAAAAAACCCTGCTTTTTCCCTAAAATAATAATTTGTCCGTTTTTATAGCTAACTTATGCAATAAAAATTTATACACATTACCGTTTTGAAATTAAGTGTACTGTACCTTCAAATGAACTGTTTTAATTTCAACTAAGCCTTTTTTAATTTTAAATTAATCTTTTCTTCAATTTTCAATTTTTTATTAGGCAATTAATTCGTCGGTTTTTACAGGCCACGGAAGTAATAAAAGTTATGTCTGTACTTTTTCGATAATTGCGCCCTTTTTGTTTTCAAATTACCCTATTTTAAACTTCAAATAACCCTGATTTTTCCCTATTGTCAATTTTTCCCTAAAATAATAATTTGTCAGTTTTTATAGCTCACTTATGCAATAAAATTTATACATATTACCGTTTTGAAATTAACTGTACTGTACCTTCAAAGGAACTGTTTTAATTTCAAATAAGCCTTTTTTTAATTTTAAGTTAATCTTTTCTTCAATTTTCAATTTTTTATTAGGCAATTAATTCGTCGGTTTTTACAGGCCACATAAGTAATAAAAGTTATGTCTGTACTTTTTCCAATAAATTAGCCCTTTTTATTTTCAAATTACCCTATTTTTAACTTCAAATAACCCTGCTTTTTCCCTATTGTCAATTTTTCCTAAAATAATAATTTGTCGGTTTTATAGCTCACGTATGCAATAAAAATTTATACGTATTACTGTTTTGGTATTAACTGGTACTTTAACTTTAAATGAACTGTTTTTAGTTTCAAATAATCCTTTTTTTAATTTTAAATTAACCCTTTCTTCAATTTTCCATTTTTTATGTATAAATAATTAGATATATATTATATATATATATACATCAATATATAACATATATTATATATAAGAAGGATGAAACAAACACAACGAAAATTCCCAAAATCCGTATGTTTTCCCAATTCATAATGTTTTTAAGAAGGCAATTAATTCGTCGGTTTTTATAGGCCACTTATGTAATAAAAGTTATATCTGTAGTTTTTCCAATTAACTGGCACTTTAACTTCAAATGAACTGCTTTTAATTTCAAATTAATCGTATCTTTAACAAATAAAAAGTAGGTATATAGAAATAGATTGGGCAAAAGAAACAAGCAGAGTAAAAATTCCCAAAACCTGGATATTTTCCCAATTGTCAATTTTTTATTGGGTTTAATTAATTAATTTGTCAGTTTTTATAGGCCGAGTAATTTTTTCTTGCCTAAACGAATCGGGCACATTTCAAAATTTATTATTTATTATCAAATAGAAGAAAATTTAAGAAATCATTTCTTCTAAAAAAACAAAATACCAATGATTTACAAGTGTTCTTACCGTCAAGATGGTCTTTTCGAAAACCGTGCAGCCCATTGAATTTGCTCTTCGAAACCTTTTCTTTTATTTTCCTGAAACAACAAAAACAAACTGTTGTAGTGAAATTAGTAGGACCTTCGCTTGAAGGTAATCGCCTTTGTTTATAGCCTGCTAAATTGCATAGAAACAAGAGTGAAATTGCATATCATAAAAATTTTATATAATGGAAGGCTTATTCTTAGATTGTGAGTCCCCTTATCCTTTTGACTTAAAGTCCAAGCGTTCAAACTTTTACGACTTGCCTATAATTTCAAAAAACAATCACCAAGGAAATCTATTACGAAAGAAGTTTATTCCATAAGTGGCGTTGCTAAAATAGAAATAATTTTTTTAAAAGATTTAATTGCATATAATATAATCAAGACGACCATAAAACCTTTAAACGATTTCTTATCTACTTTGTTAAATTTGAATACATCTAAAACTAGTTTATTAATATAAAAATGAAAAAACTAGTATTGAAAGTTTACGAAATAAGTTAAAGCATTTATTAATAATTAATGATAGGTCGATCGAGTTTCGTGACTGCAACTTTCGTCATGTTCAATTAAGTCAAGGGTGGATAAAGTTTGATGGGAAAATGAAAGAACTCAGTCTCTCTGTTGGCAAGGGCGCGTACTCAATAGAGAGCTTTCTCCGATCAGAGAGAGCGCCTCCTTTTACTCAAAGCTCTCCGATTGAAAAGTAGCAGCGAAAAATACAAACAAATTTTAATATGTTGCAAAAAAACAACAAAAAATAGACTGGTTGAAAATACAAATTTGGCAAGTTTAGCAAATTTTTGAAGGTAGATTTTCAAATATAAAAGTATTTAAAAAACAAACAATTTAATCAGTTAACTTAACAAGTTAATTATTAATTATAATAAATATTTTAAACGGATGCTGCAGTTAAAACAACTTGGCTCTAAAAGTTAGCCTTGTATGATCTTAGATACTAATCCGCATTGCAGGTGAGTAATGCTGGTTTCCTTCGAACCATTTAAGTGGAATTCAAAATATTCCTTTTGAAACAATTGTTTTAACAAAAAATATAAATAATTGAGATTTTATGCTATTTAATAATCTTATAATAATTTGCAATGATATAACTCAGTTTTTCTTTTGGCAAGGGTGAGTACTCAATGATCAAGCTTTTTTTTCAGAAAAAGTGCCTCCTTTTATTCAAAGCTCTTCGAATAAGATATTAAACATATACATGAAACATGTTACAGCTAAAAGCAATTCAAATTTTCTATCTAGAAAAAACCAAAAAACCACAATTAGCTTTGTTGAAAATGTAAATTTGGCATTTTTTGCAAGGGATGAAAATTTGCTTAAAGAATAATTTTAATTTTATATAAATAGAAACAAAATTCTTTTTAAATATTTTCAACTAGTTAATTGGAAATTATAATCAACATATCAAAAATATGTTTTAGTAATGAGAAATTTGTGGTGTAAGTTCGCTGAGTTTTTTCCGATAAACAAGCCCGCATTACATGTCTGTAGTGTTGGTTTGATTAATTCCGTTTATGAGTGGAATTCATCCCATTTGAAACAATATTTTTTAAAATAAAATTTAATATAAATAATTGAAATAATTTGCTAATTAACAATTTTATATATATCATAAACCAATATCATAGTTAATTGTTATTAGATTATTAATTAGAAAAAGATTTCAATGTAGAAGTTACTATGTCTATACAATATACTGAGAAGCTGCAGCAAGTTTTAATTAAAAATTATAGCAAATACTTCAAAAGGATGCTTTGGAGATGTGAACTTAGCCGTGAAAGTTCGCCCGGTTTGTTCTTTGATACTAACCCGGCTTGCACATCAGTAGTGCTTTTTTAAAATTTGAACTATTCAACATTTTTAAAAGGAAAATGTTCGTGTTTTAGAAATATATACATATATCTTTAACTTTATTTATTTATATTTACAACTACATATGTATTTATACAACCAGCAGTTTGGATTTAATTTTGACATATGACATAATTCGCATTAATTGGCTGTAGCATCCAACATTCTTATCAAAGTATCGGCTTTAAGGAAAATCCTAATTACTTTACTCATTTAATGACTTTAATTAATTATAATAAATTTTAAGAGACAGTTCGTTCTTCGTGGTACTTTGTCCAATTTGATAATTTCATTCTTCGATACTAGCCTTCTACTACATTTTACAGTTATGAAGGTTTAATATGACTTTCTTCACATTCAATTAAAATGTAACGTAAACACATTAGCTTTTAATCCGTTTCTTATAAACTATTCGAAAAATTAATGTACAAAAAAATAATTTCGACTGTTACTTCTTTCAGAATCTTACCAGACTATCATTTCGGCTTTCGAGCTCATCAACTTCACCGAGTTATAAAATACATATCTTCTGTCCAGACAAAAAAATGTACGGGACTCGAGCGTTTTTAAATATTTCTAAGATGTTCGACAAACTATAGCATGAGGGATTCAAATTGAAATTAATTTTAATCCAGCCTTTTCTCTGATTATACAATCTGAATCAGGCTCTCTATACTATATAATATGGTAATTAATATTCCTACTGCTGAGGCATTATATAATCCTTTTAAAGCTTATGAGAGCTAATTGGAACTCGAATTTTAATTACACAATCGTGGATATAAATAAATGAATTTTTAAAAATATAGAACCAGCCTGCTATAAACGTGACAAAAATTTAAGAAATATCGTTGTTGTTCTTAATTTGTTAAGTAAATTCATTAACTTTTTAAACTAATGAAGCCTAAAAGTCATTTAAAAAAATGTCGCTTAAAGCAATTTAAAATAGCAATTTGTCAATGTAACCAAACTGCTTTGAAGTAAACGAAGAAAATCGCCTAGTCTTCTCAAGATACTAACCCGCATTACATACCCGTCGTGCGTTTTGGACTTAACCGACAGTGCCTAACGACAACTATTTTTCCTTCGAAAGAATTACAATTTAAAAAAAAACGAGTAAAAATAGTATGAAAATAAATTTATTGCACGACATAAAATGTAATAAATAGGAAATATTCAATAATTACCAGTAAAGATGATATGAAGTTAAAAATGCAGAATAAAATGAAAACTTATATGGCGCTATTACTAGATGAGTAACTGTCCGAGTTATTTTTTTTCTTTTTTAAAATTGTCACGACCGTTAGCATCACAAACGAAAATATAAAAAACATTGAAATCGTTCAGCGTATTCTCGCCGTATACAAAAACGAAACGGATGTACGTGCTACCCGGCTGAGTAGAATTCTTCTCAGAGAAAAAAATTAACCCTAAAAACTAGAACCGACCTAATTTCGAGATGATAAATTTATTTCAATTTTCGAATAGTGTATGTGGTAGAAAAAAAGAAAATTACGATCCATGACAGTATTGTAAAATAGGTCTTGAGAGTACGCATGTACTTCTTGTTATATATTACTGTCTAAATTATGCCCCACGTTTCAAGCAATTTTTTTATAATAATTAAATTATCATAGTATTTGTTTTTATTAAAAAATTGTTTTATAACTTATAAGATTGTATATGTATCTTTTTATTGTTTTGTACTTATCGATGTTAAATAGTTAGTTATATATGTATTTATATATTTTTTAATTGATGAAATGCTATCATTCATAAATCGTACTGAAATTTCTAAGTGAAAATAGAAGTGTAGCTTTAAAGGTGCCGAAAGGCTACTATTTCTGCCACCGCCTAACAACGCCTAATCATTAAGTTCGCACACCTATCATTTGCTCATGCAAATTGAATTGCCCATTGTCTCGCCGGCTATCTCTGCCTTCTATCTAGAAAGGTGGAAAATTTGTAACCTCCGAGAATCAACAAATTGCTCTATATATCAATAAAACGGAAAAAAACTTTTGTCAGCGGCCAAAACTTGCAATAGCTATGTCTTTACTACCCTGGTGTGTTAGTTCCTCCTTGATAATAGCAATCATCTATGCCACGTCACATCCACTCTGGAAATCCAGAGCAGTAGAAGAAAGCCTTAACTACATTGTGTACATGGCAAGATGGCCGATTTTAACCCTTCTTTGGCGAATTTCCGGACAGACGTAGGTACCTAAGTAGCTGACGTAGGAGTCTTTGTTTTTGTAATGTAGTGCCTGTGGCTTACTCAAATTTCTACTAGGCATCATCGCTTTATCAATTCTTCCTCCTTCCCAACAGCAGCCGATAAATACACATTTCTCAGACCTCGCCGACTGGTTTTCACTTAGACAGCCCACATGATAGCTACCCAAGGCCCTAGGGATATCCATACAGTACTCCTCTAAAGACATCATCGGGTTTAATGACACCCACGACAAGATTCGCAGTTCTCCGCAGCTCCTCGCAACACCGGCTTCTCAGGACTACCACAGGTCCCGGTCAAATTCCGTGTTTTTGACCATAACAAGGGTAATAAATTCTTTTATTTTTATTTCAATAGGCATCAAATTTGCTAATATGCAAGCGGTTAGGGAGTTTTGAAAGTTCTAATAACACGAGTAGTCAGTCTATGGGTTTGTGTATGTGTTTTCCATTTAAATTTGCTAACATGTTGTGACTTCATGATTACTTTTACTAAGAGGATAAAATGTAAATGGGTTAAAAACGAAACACATAAATTATTCATTAGGATCGAAGTGTATTGAAACGATGCAGAAAGTACTTCTACAGCTTTACTGTTTAAAATTCACCAAATTACCATGTAATGGGACATCCGCAGACTTATGAAGTGGTAAAACGTCAAAAATCATAAAGCTTTTTAACGGTCCCACTCGAGTGAAATCAATTACGGAAAACTGGACGTTGTTCACACCTCGTCGAACACGGCAGACGGCGGATGGGACGGGATGTGTTCCGGGGCGACGTCTAAAACGGTTTCCCTCTTTAAAAAGCGATTTGTCGCTAGGCGATTTTCCTCGTTGCGCTGTTCACCTTCGGCTGTAAGTTTACGACGGCGCGCACGCTCGTGAAAACATCCCTGATAAATCGACTCGAATTTAAGCTGAAATTGAAAAACGGTAAAAATTGAACAGGAGTTCCGGTAAAATTAAATAAAAGAAGGACCGGCTTTGATTGATGAAAATCCTTGAGTCCGTACCGTAATCTTTCGCCAATTCGTTAACCTTTCGACCCTGAAAAGCAAACACGTCAATCCCCTGGAATTTGACTTAACTTATCCTGTCAAAAAGCTCGACTTTGTTCCTTGAAATCACGGAACGGGTTAAAAAACACTAATGACTCTATAACGAATCCTTTTCCACATCTCATTAACTCTGCTTGAAAAAATAGTTTTATACAGATTAATTACAATAATTATTTTTTAATGGCTAATTAACCGGGTGTATATAACTTTAGTGAATTTGATATTCTCCACGTATTAAAAAAATTGTTTAAATAATATTTATTTGTTTCCTATATTCATAGGACTGCATTATACATATTTTTCTAATGATATAAAAATCCATGGAAAAACACTAACTAACCTGTACTGCACACGGAGGACACGTGGAGTGAGGATCACACGGAGCAGGACAGGATCAGTTTGTCATCGGGTTCAGGCGACGTGGAGTGTTTTTGGGTTAGGAAGTAATGGAGAGGATTTTAGCAGTAGGTTATGGGCTGAAAGATTAGAGTGAAATTCACTAATTTCGTGGTCCGCTTGACCAATTAATATATTACAATTAATTAAGGTTTTTAGTTGAGATAAAAAAAAGGAGGGAAAATTCAAAAGGTGGGGTTGAGATGGGAAGTTAGTGTCCGAGTGGATCGAGGTCACGATAGCTCAAGTGGTAGAGCAGCAGCGTTTTTAGCCGAAGATCGTGAGTTCGAATCCCGCTCGTGCCATTTATTTTTTTATCTCAACTAAAAACCTTAATTAATTGTAATATTAGAGTGAAACTTGAGGAAGCGGGAAAGGATCAGTGAGATTGGAGACATAGTAAGGAGTTTGGAGAATTCTTCTGAGGACTTGTGTTTGGAAAGGATTCGTTGGATATTAGATGGATTGGTCGTACCCCACAGTTCCGCTCCGTTTGTCCAAACAGGTCGAAGTAATATTTTGTACAGAGTTAGTTTTTTCTTTACTTGCCTGATTTCACTTCTATAAGTCTTCGTAGTTGTCCAAATCGTCTGTTTAGTTCTTGTCCTCTTGTGAGAGGATTCTAGTCTCCTGGCTAGGTATAGTCCTAAGTGTATTTTCTAAGTATTTTACTTGTGTGGACGTCGGTAGTCCTTTACGGTTACTGTATGTAGTCGGGCAAGGATGTTTGTTTAACGTGAACGTGGGTGCATTAGTCCTCGTTCAGCTTCGTTTTCCTCGTTTAGCAACCTTCTTCAATGAGCTCAAGATGTTTCGGGATATCGGAGGTGGCTTTGAGAAGGAGTCGAGAAATAAAATAGTATCGTCCGTGTAGGTTGTGTGGTTGTTGGGACGTATCAGCAGTGTAAATTGTACATAGGATGGGACCAAGAATGCTCCCTAGTGGGACGCCGGCCTGGATCGGTCTGACTGAAAACTCGTTGCCATATCTCACTCTGAAGCAGCGTTTAAATAGGTTTTTAGTATTTAGTAATAAGGAATGGGTAGGAACTGCTTTAGTTCGAAGAAAACTCCCGGGTACCAGACTGTCAAAAGTTTGGGACATGTCCAGGAATGCATCCGGGCAGTACTCTTTGTTCTGTAAAGCAGAGGGAAATGTCAACAACCCCGAAACATTGCCGAATCGTGGAAGGATGAGGACAGAAACCAAATTAGTGTGAAATAATGATGTTATGTTATCTAAGGTAGGTATTAAACGTTTCCAAGACTTTGGACATTACTGGAGATGGTTGATAGGTCTGAAGAGGATATGCGGCTCGGAGGTTTGTAGGGTTTAGGTATGAGGGTGATTATGGAATATTTTCATTGTAGGGAAAAATGAGAGGGTCGTAAGATTGAATTGTAAATGTTAGTCAAAAAGCTACGGCTTTTTGTGGGAAGTTTCAAAGAATGATAGGCATTATAAGATCTTCTGGGAGACTTTTTACTTGGGGACTTGTAAATATAGAATTTTACTTCAGAAGACTAGTTAATATTTCTTTCATGTTCAAAACGTTCCAAGACCCAGTAAAAAAAAATCCACACTAACTTCCATTCCCACTCTAACCCTTACAACTTTCCATTTGATCATTTCTAAAGAATACCCCTTGAAGACTTGTTGTTCGTTTATGGAGTGCTATAACTGGATAGCGTCACCACTCGATTTAATCACGCAAGATCTCACTGTTATCTGTGCAGCTTAATGATTGAAAATACTTTGAAGTTTTCCTTTTATTCTAATAGAACCAATACTCATCAACAAATTTTATTTGCACTGCAGCCCATTCGTCATCGTACAAAATGTCTTGTCAATAATGCAGGCGCGTCTCGATCAATGAGAAGATATTTCGTACTCTGAGGAAGGCTGTCTACTCAAAAAAAAATTTATTGGATAATTTCAAATTTTTCATATATAAAAGTTAATTTTTGTACTTACAGCTTTCTTTTTCTATTGTCCTTTTTCCTGTAACAAAAAATAAATGAATAAAATTAGTATTATTTTAATATGATAGAGTAAAACACATATTTACATAAAGAATGTATCTTATGTTTTTTGACCAATTACTTCAATTTTTCTTTGCGGGTAGCGTTATTTTTTGTTCTTTGCCGTTGGAATTTTCTTCTTAATTTCTTTAAAAAACAAGTTTTAACACAGTGGCTAATATGCATAGATCATAAGGCAAAAAAAAACTGTGATTTTTTTTTTTTTTGGGGGGGGGGGGTTCGACTGCATGGAAAATGGAGTAGAATGCCGCAAGAGCGGGTGTGCCATCTCTGTTGTATACGGAGTTCCGATAGTTCTTGTGTTTTTCGAAAAAACCGGACTTTACGTCGTTAAATCGGGTTTTACCAACTTTTACTTAAATTATTCACAGTTTGAACTCGTTTTTCGGAAAGAGCGATAAATTTCCTAGATTACACCATGTTTTCATTTCTTTGCGACACGCTTAAATGTCATTTAGAACAGAGGAAATGTAAAATTTATCAAAAATCCGGAATTTTCAAAAGAGTTCAAAAATTTGCCTCTCTTTTAAAAATAATCTTAGATGTAGAATCACTCAAAAATGTATACGATTAATATACTTTCTAACGATACGTGCATTACAGTGACTGATACCTTGGGAGGAGAAATCAAGCTTTAATCAGTCCTTGTCTAAGGAACGCAGAAGTCCATAGGGTTGAGATCAGAGGACTTGCAATGTATACCATCTCGCCCTATCCACTCAGGGAACCGTTCGGACTTATTCCTTTGGAGTTTTCCCAAACAAGAAGTCTATAGGGAACAGGTCAACAGCAAAGAAGAGTTGAAGAGAATAATTGCTGCAGCACAAAAACTTAACTCTCTCTACTATGGGAGCTGTTCGGAAACAAGCAAAGTTCATGCTCATCGGGAGCAGGGGAAGGCTGTTCGAACAGATTTTATTTTCAATACGTTATTTTTTTATCATTTCATTTTTTCTATAATGACAATGAAACATGATAAGCTACTACCACCCTCTTTCCTGAACCGAGACTACGTTTTTACTTTTTAAGCTCCCAAAGAAGTATCTTTCACAGTAGATGTAGATGTAGATGTGATATTTCAGGTTGTGGTATACTGCGCCCGTTGAGAGCTATTGTATCCCCCGTTCTCTGCCTAAAGCACATCGGTGAGTCCTATTTCATCAAGAAACTTGATTAATAGGCCCGGTTTTAATGGTTGAAGATCTTCTATGGCCACATTATACATCCCAAAACATTTCCTCCTGCGGGCTAATGTAGCACAGTTTGTTAGTAAGTGTGTTGGTGTCTCTTCTGCTTCCTTGCAGCATCTACATGTGCCATCTTGGATTGTTCCAATTTTCTTTAGGTGTCCATTTAATCTACAGTGTCCTGTTAGGATTCGCAGTCTGTTCCTGCTTCCTTTGACACTTTCTGTGATTTCTTTCCTACCAAAATTGGTTAGAAGATTCTTGGATTGTCTATGTCCAATAAGTGAATTCCAAAGTTCCCTCATTTTCTTTTTGTCCTTCTGTCTGAGATATTCTGAGAGGTTAATAGTGTGGATTCTTATGCCACAGAAGGGTTCGGGACCTATCAGCGGTGTGGCAGCCCCTTTCCTTGCAAGGGTGTCCGCTTTCTCGTTGCCTTCTACCCCCATGTGTCCTGGGACCCAGCAGAGGCTGACTTTATTCTGCATACCTAATATATTTAGTTTGGTTTTGCAGTTCAGCACCATCCTTGAACTAATGGTATTTGAGCTTAGTGCTTTGATGGCTATATTCTTGTTTTTGTATCCTTTACTTAGATTGAATTGGATACATCTTTCAATTGCGTGAATCTCAACTTCGAAGATACTGGTGTGTTTTCCCATGGGTTCTGAGTATTTGGTGCCGGGTCCTGCTCCCGTACCTTCTTGTATTCTAGATCCATCTGTGTACCAAAGGATGGTGCCATTTTTAAAGGAGTTATTTCCCTTTCCTTCCCATTCCTTTTTGGTGCCCAGATGTATTCGGAATTTTTGGTTAAATTCAAACATCCTGTTCATATCAACCTTTCACAGTAACTCATACATTAGTAGAAAAGTGTGGTGCTTATTGACCGTTACTTGATGATTATTTTGAAGTCGTGAGATGCGGTCTGGTGTGACGTAGATTTTATAAAAACATTTTCTTTATCGTGACAATGTTTCGATCTTTATTGAGATCATCTTCAGGGCTCAAAGTGTTTGTTTTCCGTGTAGATGTGTCATTCTTGTGTGTCGTGGCCCTGAAGATGATCTCAATAAAGATCAAAACGTTGGCACGAAAAGAAAATGTTTTTCTAAAACGTCATACCAGACCGCACCTCACGACTTCCAAATAATTATTAGAAAATTTATTAAATGAAGAAATTTTTGTGTGGATCGACATAGTCTAAGATTATTTTTAAAAGAGTGGCAAATTTTGGAATTCCTTGGAAAATTTCGGATTTTTGATCAATTTTACATTTTCTCTGTTATTAATGACATTTAAGCGTGTCGCAAAGAAATGAAAATGGTGTAGACCTACAGGAAATTTATCGCTCTTTCCGAAAAAAAAACAGATAAAACTTCGAATAAATTAAGTAAAACTTGGCAAAACGCGATTTTTTCAAAAAACACAATAACTATCGTAACTCCGTATTGAACAAGGATAGCATACTCGCTCTTTCGCCATACTACTCAATTTTCCATGAAGTTCCATAGAAACAAATTTTTCACGCTGATCCAAACCCAGTGTAAAACAGTATTTATGTCCTTCCGAAGCTTCAGGGTATTTCAGTACTTTTGCAAATGACAGAAATTGCTTTGTTTTAGTCCTTAGGGCTTTAAAAATTCCCAAGGCTCACAGAATTGATAATCGTTCCGGAGCATAAACCATAATTTTTACCATGCATTCCTGGATTATATGTATAATGTTGTAAGTTTAACAGTTTATGCTACGCATTATAATCCATTCGGCATAAAAAAACAGCTGAAACAGGACAACGAAATGCCAACCGGGAAATATATATTCATACGTCGGATGTAATATGAGACCAGGCCGATGTCTCCCAGTGAGGGACGGCGGCACACGTGTGTTTTTCCCTTTCGCTAGAAAGTCCCTTAAATTTGCCGGTGGTCGATACGCCGTGGATTACATTCGGACAATGGTTTTATTACCGGAGACGCTTGTAAATCTCTTGAAAGAGAAACCGGATCGGAATGAATTAGGCACCGACTCCCGGGGATCCGCTGGGCGAGGGAGAAGACGCCCTGACCTTGCTGGCTCACCGCAACCGGGACGGGAGACACCGTCTATCAGACGATTTTTCCTGCACGAACCCCGGGATTTCATACTCTCTCTTAATCCAAGACAAAGAGGATTAGCAATTTGCTTTATTGCGAATCGCCCTTTCCACCGGTTTTGCACAACGGTTGCAATTATTGTTTGTGAAGGGGGGAACAAAACTGTATCACTTTTATTTCCTAAGTTGGTCTACGAATGGACGAGCACATATTAAGATAATCACTTCACTGATTCCGTCAATTCTCGCGTAAAGTTTGGCTTCATGTCATCTTCGATCGATCATTTCAAAGCATTTTTAATTCAGCTAAATCTATCTCTAATAAGGAAATAAAGCAAAAGTCTGAGAGACCAAAAAAGCGAGGATAGATGGACCAGGACGACCTATAGCTAGTAAGCCAAAGGTCGTGACTTCCTAGTTCTTAAGAAGAAATCTCGTAATTGTGCAAAAAAGAAACGACTGAAAAGAAAGCACAAAAACCCACTAGTGAAGATGGCAAGAAGCAGAAACACGTCTAACAGGCCAAAATAGCGAGAATTGGCGGACCAGGATAACTGGAAACGTCCATGCTACTGGTTCATTACATCTTTGAACTCAAGGAAAGTTCTCACGATTGTACAACTAGGAGAAGGTTGGAAAAATAGCAAAATAGCACAGAAACCCACCAATGAACATGGCGAGAAGAAGAAACGTGTCGGAAAGACCAAAACAGCGAAGATTAAGAGACAAGGCTGATTTGAAACGGCCCAACTACATTTATCACTTTGCCTAAATCAAGAAGAAATCTCCTGTCTCTGTAAGAAAGGACACGATTAGGAAAATAACACCCAACCCTACTGAAGACGGCGAGAAGCCGAAACTCGTCTGAGAGACCAAAACGCAGTCCAATTAAAGGATCACTACTTCGCAAAAAAAAATCACGATTGTATAAAACCGATACAACTGGCAAAATAATACCCAAACGAACTACTGAAGACGGCGAGAAGTCCGAAATGTATCTGACAATTTAGAATAGAAAAGGCGGACCAAGACGGCAAGAAATGGTCCCACTACATCTCACATATCAAGAATATATCTAACAAATACATAAAAGAACTCGACTGGAAACGTAGTACACAAATCAACGTCTGAAGATGGTGACAAGCAGAATCTGTTTTGACAGGCCAAAAGAGCGAACATAAGCGGACCCATATGACCTAAAACAGTCCAATTACAGGTTCATCACTTCGTCTAACTCAAGAAGAAATTTCCCAATTGTATGAAAAGGAATGATCGGTAAAATAACATAACCCACCTCTGAAGATGGCGAGAAGCAGAAACGCGTCTGACAAATCAAAACGTACAGGACAGGCGGACCAAGGTGAACCGACACGACCCCACTTCAGACTCGCCCCTTAAAAAATTCAATATCTCACAACTGCTGAAACTCTGAGGATGGCGAGAAGCAGAAAAGATTCTGACAGGCCAATAAAGTAAGAAAAGTCGGGCCAGGTTGATCTGAAACGGCCCAACAATAGGTTCATGGCTCTTCAGCTCTTAAGAAAATATACCGCAATCTATGAAAAGGACATGATTGGCGAAATAGCACAGAAACTCTGAGGATGGCGAGAAGCCGAAAAGATTCTGACAAATCAAAACGTACAGGACAGGCGGACCAGGATGAACTAACAACGGCCT